ACTCTTATGGACAAAGTTATTTAATGATTCCAAAGAAGTTAACTTCCCAAAACAATTCACATTAGCAGAGGAAAAAAACACACACAGAATACCTGCATCACACTGAGAAAAAGGAGAAATGTGTTTATAACTGTGAGAGAGGCATAATGTTAGAAGACCCAGTTAACTGTGCCTACCAAAAAAAGTAAATGTCACTCCTCATTTATGAATTAAGACCATCAAGGAACCTAATGTTCAAAAAGAAGGAGAGGTGATTATACGTATACTAGTCAAACAATAGTGTCTTCAAAATCAGTTCATAAGCGGGCGCCTGGGTGGCTCAGTCATTAAGCGTCTGCCTTCGGCTCAGGTCATGATCCCAGGGTCCTGGGATCGAGTCCCGCGTCGGGCTCCCTGCTTGGCGGGAGGCCTGCTTCTCCCTCTCCCACTCCCCCTGCTTGTGTTCCTGCTCTCGCTATCTCTCTGTCAAATAAATAAATAAAATCTTAAAAAAAAAATCAGTTCATAAGCCACACTAAAAGTAAGCTTCATTCAGTCTTATGGTACTGAGAGTACTACCATGTTCTGAATACAACATCCTATGAGGTATTCATTCATCAAATATTTACTGATCACCTACCACTGTTCTAGAAGAGGTGAGGTGGTGAAAAAATAAAGGCCCTACTCTCATAGAGCTTACACTGTAAGCATGTATTTTAAAAAAAGAAATTGAGGCTCAGTTCCCAGCTCTGTTAGACTCTAAAACCTACACTACATATTTTGTTTTTATTTATTTTTATTTTTTTTATTTTTAAAGATTTTATTTATTTATTTGAGAGAGAGAGAATAAGAGAGAGAGAGCATGAGGTGGGGAGGGTCAGAGGGAGAAGCAGACTCCTCACTGAGCAAGGAGCCCGATGCGGGACTCGATCCCGGGACTCCAGGATCATGACCTGAGCCGAAGGCAGTCGCTTAACCAACTGAGCCACCCAGGCGCCCTACACTACATATTTTGACTGTATCATCTCCCACTGGCAAGATACAGCTTCTCCTAAAAATCCACACCTAAACATGCAGTCCTGACAGCCCTGTCTGCAACAATTTAGGGTTCCTCTCTGTTGGCAGTTCAGTGTCACTTTCTCAGTGAAGTGTTCTTCCCCCAACTTCCAACAGCAAAGACTGCTGGGTCAGCAGTTTAACACATCATACTGACAAGAATTAAATTCTTTTTCTCCTTCATTAGTCCCTAAACTCCCTCAGGGCAAGAACCATGTCTCAGCCTCTTTGTTATGTCTAGAAGATGGTACAGCAAATAGCCAATAAGTAGCTGAGTGGAGCTCATGAGAACATTTCGACAAAGTAGAAGGTGGAAGCTAGATTGCAATGAACTAAGGAGTCAAAGAAAGAGAGGGGAATAGTGTTTGCTCTTCAAGAACAAGTCGAGAAAGGAAAAGGAGGGAAATGGAAGTAGTCTGAAGGAGAAATGTGATCACAGGAAAGTTTTTTACTTTTTTAAGAATGAGAAAAATTTGAATATATTTGTTGGTAAGGTAGTGCAGCATAGTAGAAAGAACAGGGATGGCAGAGTCAGATAGGCTTGAATTTGAATTCTGGCCCTGTCACTTACTATGTCTGTAGGCAAATCTGCACTTCAACTTACACATAAAATGAGAATGATAATACCTACACCTCACGGTGACAATGACAGCATGTGGCAAACAGAAGTAATCCAATAAATGGTATCGATGACTATTACTATATGCAGAAGCCCGGACTCTGGTGTTCTAACCCCTCCTACATAGCTTGTGCTTCAATGCAGATTTCCTATCTCAGTCTATATGTAATATGTGATGGCAAAGAAACAGGATCCTTATTTCTTCTGTGTGTACCACCCTCTGTGCTATTCCACTTCTTTGTGACAGTCTGGATGAGCTCATGAATGGCTACTATGGAAAACTACTGATGTCACCAGCTGAGGAAATAGAGACAATGTGGAGAAGCAGCAGATGAAACTGATGTTAAATCATCAAATGTACAAGATTCTGGGCTCCTGCCAAAACTCATTGAGAACTAGGAAGAGAGAAACCGAAAACACACACACACAGAACATTGTTTAACTTCCTAAGCCAACAAGGTGTTCCCAGCATCCACCCCAGGCACAGAAAGATGGCTGTATGATAAAAGAGATGGTTCTCGGGGCGCCTGGGTGGATCAGTCAGTTGAGCGTCCGGCTCTTGGTTTAAGCTCAGGTTGCGATCTTACAATCGTGGGATCAAGCCCCGCATGGGGCTCTGCACTCAGTGCAGAGTCGGCTTCAGATTCCCTCTCTATCAAATAAATAAAATCTTTAAAAAAAGAGAGAGAGGGAGAGAGAGATAGTTCTCTCCTGAGTTCCTTTCTCAGTATTTCACCTTCATGTCAGATTCATTTCTGTGAGGTGCTACTCCAGTACACCAACTTTTCTGTCATCTGGCAAGTTCCCAAATTCACAAGATTAGGTATGCTTTTTTTATATTAAAATAATTTTTGTTCACAGCCTTTTAAAGTTAATGCTCTCATGCTCACATCAGTAGCACATATACTAAAGTTAATGCTCTGATCATGGGTCATGTTCACCTGTTACCATATCTGATCAACAGAAACACCTCACACCCTCCTCCTAACCGAATCACACATCTCCATGCTTAAAAAGGGACACAGGGAAGAGGACTAAAGCCCAGGCTACTGTGACAATTAGTGATGAAAAGGCTACATACAGCTAGGATTATCGGAATACAGGAAAGATACTGACTTCCATTTAGAATCGATTACAAATTAATCATGGAGAACAGAAACGAATATATAAAACAAAGATGATATAATTACTGGTTAGAGTTCAGAGAAAACTGGAACATAAGGAAAAGAAGATGAGGAAGAAAAGTAGGAAATGTATGTGTATCTACAAACTTTTCTTTTTTTTAAAGATTTTATTTATTTGACAGAGAGAGACACAGTGAGAGAGGGAATACAAGCAGGGGGAGTGGCAGAGGGAGAAGCAGGCTCCCCGCTGAGCAGGGAGCCCGACGCGGGGCTCGATCCCAGGACGCTGGGATCATGACCCGAGCGGAAGGCAGACGCTCTACGTACGACTGAGCCACCCAGGCGCCCCATGTATCTACAAACTTAATTACAGGGGCGCCTGGGTGGCTCAGTCGTAAAGCGTCTGCCTTCCGCTCGGGTCATGATCCCAGCGTCCTGGGATCGAGCCCCGCGTCGGGCTCCCTGCTCAGCGGGGAGCCTGCTTCTCCCTCTGCCTCTGCCTGCCTCTCTGCCTACTTGTTCTCTCTCTCTCTCTGTCAAATAAATAAATAAAATCTTTAAAACAAAACAAAACTCAGAAGTCCTTCAACAAAATTAAAAAATTAAAAAAAAACTTAATTACAAACATAATCACTAAAAGCTACAAGTAAGGGCACCTGGGTGGCTCAGCTGATTAAGCGTGTGACTGGGTTTCGGCTCAGGTGGTGATCTTGGGGTCGGGGGATCGAGCCCCAAATGGGGCTCTGTGCTGAGGACGTAGTTTGCTTCAGATTCTCTCCCTCTCCCTCCATCCCTCCCCCGGTCTGCTCCCTCTAAGATAAATAAACAAAACACACACATATATATAAAATAAAAGCTACAAGTAAACAAGTCAAAATTGGAAATTCAGTTTTTGTGAATCAGAGTCTTACCAGGAACTTGAGTTTACCAAGAAAGAAAAAGGGTAAAGAATATTCCAGGACACTTCTTTTTGTTTGTTTGTTTTAAAGATTTTATTTATTTATTTATAGGACAGAGAGAGACACAGCGAGAGAGGGAACACAAGCAGGGGGAGCGGGAGAGGGAGAAGCAGGCTTCCCGCCGAGCAGGGAGCCCGACGTGGGGCTCGATCCCAGGACCCTGAAATCATGACCTGAGCTAAAGGCAGACGCTTAACTGAGCCACCCAGGCGTCCCTTTTCTTTTCTTTTTAAATTGTATTTATTTATTTGACAGAGAGAAAACAGCGAGAGCGGGAACACAAGCAGGGGGAGTGGAGAGGGAGAAGCAAGCCTCCCACCGAGCAGGGAGCCCGATGCGGGGCTCGATCCCAGGACCCCGGGATCATGACCTGAGCCGAAGGCAGACGCTTCACGACTGAGCCACCCAGGCGCCCCCCCAGGACACTTTTAATAACCCACCAAAACCCAAAAAGCCAGCAACCCACCACAAATTTCATGTGCAGCACAAGACTGGAAACCGACAGTCACCCGTCGCAGAAAAGAAACTTTACAACATCTTTTCTTCCTCCATATAAAACCCATCCTGGATCATTAGGTATAACTTTCGGAATTCCAATCCTAACTACTCTGAGTGACCTCGGCTAATAGATGCCTCAGTTTCCCCAATGTTAAAATACACACATTACAGCGAGTCTCGGCCCGAATCCGAGCCTGTGTTCTGACTCCGCACCTGAATCTTCAACGTCAAGTCACGAGTTAAGCCTGAGGAAGAGCCCGCAGCTTAAATGTGCCCGAGGAAAAGAAAAGAAAAGAAAAAGAAAAACAGTCCCCCCTGCCTCCCCCGCCTGAGGTGCGGTTTCTGTAAAACCGCTCGCAGCTGCGGAGGGGGAGGTATGTACTCGGGCTCGAGCCCCCAGGACACGGAGGCTCGGGCGCCGGTGGCCCCCGCTCCCGCTGGTCGCGCGGGAGGCCGCCCCCGCCCCGGGCGGGGACGCGGGGGCTCAGCGACACGCGGGTCCGAGCCCCGCCGCCGCCCCGCACCGCCAGAGCCCGCGCCTGGCGCCCCCGGCCGGCGCCCCCTCCCACGCGGGCACCGCGAGGTCCGGCCCCGCCGCTCTCCCGGCCGCGGGCGGTGCTTCTCCCCTCGCCTGCCCGTCAGTCCGTCCGTCCGTCAATCGGTCGGTCCATGGCCGCCCCCGCGACCCCACCTGAGGGGCAGGTGAGGGCGCCGGGCTCCACAGACCCAGCGAGTCTCCGCCGACCTCTCCCTCCGCACACTCACCTGCCCCGCGCGGGACGTCCAGCTGCCCGGCCGCCGCCAGCCGGCCCCCACCTCAATGCCAAGCCGGGTCGGCTCGCGGCTGCACAGCTCAGACCCAGTCGGCGCTCGGTGGCGCCACCGCGCACGCGCGCCGAGCCGAGCGGGGGAGGGGGGTTGCCGTTGAGGATGCTGGGGGCTGTAGTCCTCCGGGGCCAGTGGACTGCGGCGGCGCTGGGGTCTGCGCGCTCCCGGACCGCACACACGAGGCTCCTTTCCAAGCTGAGACTCGGTCCCCCGGCGGACATGGGGGGTGGGGGAAGGGGGCGCACAGAAGCCCTTCGGAGCTCAGCGATACCCACTGGCCTTCGTCTGCACTGCAGCCCGAGGAGCTCAGGGCAATATGGGCTGCACCAGAGGTTAAGGATGCGGGATAGATGGGACGCCTGGGTGGCTCAGTTGGTTGGGCGTCTGCCTTCGGCTCAGGTCATGATCCCGGGGTCCTGGAATCGAGCCCCGCATCGGGCTCCCTGCTCGGCGGGAAGCCTGCTTCTCCCTCTCCCACTCCCCCTGCTTGTGTTCCCTCTCTCGCTGTGTCTCTCTGTCGAATAAATAAAATCTTTAAGAAAAAAAAAAAAGTATGTGGGATTGATGGGGCAGGACTCTGGAAAAAGAGCGGCCCTTACTTGATGCTCATTTTCTAAATATTTAAGTGCCTTCTTCACAGGTGTACAAAACCAGCCCTAGACCAGCCTGAACCACTCTTACACAAGTCACAGGCCCTGCAAGGAGCCACAAATTGGAACAAACTTGGTTGAGGGCCTGCCGGAGAAATTCACTCTCCAGGCATGTATAATGCAGTGGGTGCAGTCAGAGGCTGCGTTTGGGTCATTCAACCATGCTAACGCTTAGCTCATCCATAAAATGAGAGTGTGAACTTATGGTTGTGAGAACTAGATGCTGTTTGAGAAAATGTTAAAGTACAGTACAAATGAACAGTCCAGGAAGATAGCAGGCCCATCCCCATTTGATATCCAGGTCCTAGTAGATGTCAGATTCTATCCTGAAAAGAATGTGTTGGGGTGCCTGGTGGCTCAGTCTGTAGAGCATGGCACTCAATCTTGGGGTTGAAATTTGATCCCCATGTTGGGTGTAAAGATTACTCTTAAAAAAATAAAATCTTAAAAAAGAAAAAGAAAACGTGCTTACCACCTTTTAGGAAGGTCATCAAAAGCTACAATAGTATTTCAGGAATGTTCTTTTAGAAATTTCTCCCTACCCTGAAGAGATAAATTTAGTTTTAGAGCTGCTTATTAACCTAAGCATGGGTTCCCAATGGTGTTCCAAGGGAGTGATGCCTGGGTCAAGGAATGGAACCATCGTCCACACAGATAGCAAGGCAAACTCAGTTGTGACCTCACTGTATTATGCTCACTTTGCAAAGCAATTTCATGTTATTTAACGTCCCTGTGAAAGCTGGGTGAATTTTATCATTTGAATTTTACAGAGTACACTGGCAAAACTAGTTAAGTGGCAGAGCAGAGATCTGCACCCAGTTTCTGGGGCCAAGTTCACTTTCCTTCTCAAATTCTGCTTTCTTAAACTGAACAACGCCGCCCCCCCCCCCAACCCATTGCCTTAGAGCAATGAATTCCAGCCTTTTAAGTGTGGTAACATCCTTTTCTCTCATCTCACAACTGTTGCAGGAGCTATGTTTCTTAAGTTTATCTTTGTGGGGGAACACAATTTCTTGAGACAGTTGTCATGTCAGTGTCAAAACTCAATGGTTAAGTAATGCTAGCTTCAGCACGGTCCCCTTAGGTTTTTACAATGAACGATTAGCATTTCATCTTTGCAACTTTCCCTACACACTTAATAGGGAATTAAGAACTTGTCAACACTTACTAAATAAAGCTTCTAGCCCTCCCCTGGCATTCCAGTGGAACATTTATCAAAGATCAATACTGGGGCGCCTGGGTGGCTCAATCGTTAAGCAGCTGCCTTCGGCTCAGGTCATGATCCTGGGGTCCTGGGATCGAGCCCTGCATCAGGCTCCCTGATTGGCAGGAAGCCTTCTCCCTCTCCCACTCCCCCTGCTTGTGTTCCCTCTCTCGCTGTGTTTCTCTCTGTCAAATAAATAAATTTAAAAATCTTAAAAAAAAAAAGATCAATACTGGGTAGGCCAGGGGCACCTGGCTGGCTCATTCTGTGGCACATGCGACTCTTATAATCTCAGGGTGGTGAGTTCAAGCCCCACATTGGGTGTAGAGATAATATAAAAAAAAAATACTGGGAAGGTCCAACAGCCACAGGAGATAGAAAACCAGTACTTCCCTTTTAAAAAATGGTAGACTAGCTAACAATTCTATGAAACTTCCTTATTTGTAAGTTCTGTGTGAGAATTCTATATACACATTTCACCTCCATTAGAGAACAAAAGAGAAAGAAAAATGCCACATTCTTAAAAGCTTCCTAGGACGCCACTCAAGGCAAAGCCTTTCTCAATTTGTGCCACAGGAAGGGTGGATGGAGCCAGGCATATTGAAGAAATTCAGCCAAGCACCAAGCTGGTGGGAAGAGCAGCATCTGTATCATGATGAAGGGTGGATTACAAGATGATAAAACCAAGGGAAGCAGAGTGGATTTGTTGAAGTTACATCTCAAGAGCACCTTTTCTCAGTGGTACTTAATGAACTTTGCATGTATTCAGATGTTAAACGGTATATATCCCATTACTGAGGAGCCATTCAGCACTTTGCTCCATAAGCTCCAGGAGGGCAGACTGGCTTGTTCACCGTTGTACTCCCAGTATACAGTAGGGTGCTGAAAAAAAAATGTGTTCATGTATGAAATCGGGGGGCGCCTGGGTGGCTCAGTTGGTTAAGCAGCCGACTCTTGATTTCGGTTCAGGTCATGATCTCGGGGTCCTGGGATCGAGCTCCATATCAGGCTCCACGCTCAGCAAGGAGTCTGCTTAGGACTCTCTCTCCCTCTCCCCCTCCCTCTCAAATAAATAAATCTATTTTTTTTTAATTTTATTTATTTATTCATGAGAGACAGAGAGAGAGGCAGAGGCAGAGGGAGAAGCAGGGTCCCTGCGGAGCAGGGAGCCCGATGCGGGACTCGATCCCAGGACCCTGGGATCATGACCTGAGCTGAAGGCAGACGCTTAACCGACTGAGCCACCCAGGCGTCCCTCAAATAAATAAATCTTAAAAAAAAAAAGTATGACATCTGGATCAGAAACAAGATATCTTATAAATACCTATTTCTTCCAGGTTATCACTAAAGAAATGCTTTTCTAAACATGAAATATGATTTAACCCCTTTCTTGAAAGAAATGAGTAACTTATTTAAGGAACTATGGAATGAATCCCTTTGAGATCTGTTCTTTATGTTTGCATTTCTGCTTTATATATTTTATTTTTTTAAAGATTTTATTTTTAAATTATCTCTACCCCCAACGTGGGGCTCGAACTCACAACCCTGGGATCACAACAATCACTTGCTCCACCGATTGAGCCAGCCAGGCGCCCCTGCTTTATGTATTTTAAGTACACCCGGCCTGTGCTCTACAATCGGCACTATCCTAATTACAACTTTTTAAAGTTTAAAGCGAAACTACTAGTTAAACAATTAGTGTTTAAAGCCGTGGGAGAGGCATAACACTTTCCCATGGTTTTAAACTTCTCAAGACCCTAGAGCCACAGCAACGAAAGGCTAGATCATTTGTGGATGGAAACACTCGGGTCAGTCATGGTCCCCAAATTCTGTCTTGACTTCGTTATGTTCCAGATTAGCTAAATTTGAGCTAAATTTTGTGTCCATTAGACCACACCTCTGATAAAGAACATACCTTGTAAGTAATATATATGAATCCCAGTACTTAAAAATGCTATCATGACGAAATGTAATTTGTTCTATATGGGAATCCTAGAACAAAAAAAGGACATTAGCTAAAAACTAAGGGCTTTATTTGATAATGTACCAATATTGGTTCATTAACTGTGATGACTATACCACACTAATGCAAGACGTTAATAAGGAACATCAAGTGTGGCATATGGGAACTTTGTACTATCTTTGCAATATACAAATATTCTAAAATTTAAATAAAAATTGCATTAAAAACTTGAAAAAAGGGGCGCCTGGGTGGTTCAGTTGGTTAAGTGTCTGCCTTTGCCCCAGGTTATGATCCCAGGGTCCTGGGATCAAGCCCCACGTCGGGCCCCCTGCTCACTGAGGGGGGGTCTGCTTCTCCCTCTGCCCCTCCCTCCACTTGTGCTCTCTAATAAATAAAATCTTAAAAAAAAAACCCTTGAAAAAATACACAAAAGCCAAAAGAAAATAAAAACCACCTTAAACTCATCACCCAAGAAACCACACAGTGTTTCATTATATAACTTTATTATTATTTTACTTTCTCTCTCTCTCTAAGTAAACTCTATGCCAACATGGGGCTTGAACTCATGACCCCAGGATTAAGAGTCCCATGCTCCACCAACTGAACCAGCCAGGTGCACCAACTTCTCCTATTTATTTTTTATGCTGGCTCATTCCCCATTCTTTGGTTGGGGTTTAAGTTCAGAATATACTCTCTGCCATGGCAGGCAAACCAAAACAACAGCATCCTCCTCAAATGTTAGCCTGCTCCCCGACTGGCTGGTGAACTCTCCCCAGCTCAGAAAGGAAAATGACATTTCCTGAGTACCTTCTTCACGTCAGACTCTATGCTACGCAATTTCAGTCAGCTAGTGCTCACATCTATCCAGGATTCACATCACCAATCTGGAGGCACTGTACCTGTGCTTCCACTTAAGGACATGAGACTCTTCTGGTTATCAAATGCCAGGGGAAGAGAGCAGTATGTACCTGGGTACCCGTCTGCGGCTGAACAGAAGGTGGTTACCTCACAGTCTGCCCAGATCCTGATTTCTGGATGATTCAAATCCTGGAGTTCAGATCACTGGTTAACTGAATTCAATCTAATTTTTGAGAAGGCCTGAGTGCTCTCTTCTCAGCCAACCTGCAGTCCACCCAAACGCCCTTAATTAAAATGTTACACGGGGGGGTTGCCTGACTGGCTCAGTCAGTGGAGTATGTCACTCTTCATCTTGCAGTCCTAAGTTTGAGTCCCACGT